CCCTTTTTCAAATCCCTTCTTTTGAAATTCCCCATTGTAAATAAATTATATTTATCCTTTTAAAGTTAATAGAGCTTCTTCTTGTTTGATTTATGGTTGAATCTACCTACCCGACTGAGCCGAGCCAACTGGAACCCGAGCCCCCACGACCTATTTAGTGATAATTACGCTGACAATGACTGTGACGGGTAAAATTACAGCGAACAACCGCTACATTTTTATGAAATTGTAATGTTTATATTTACTGTTTTGCTGTTTTAATTGTGTTTCTTAAATTTGGCAACCCACTCGACAGAGATCTAGTATCTCTTTTTGGGACGCCTGCCTTCTTTTTGTCTGTCATTTTTCTGTACATTTTTAAGAGGCGAATAAATGAAATGAAAGCAAATTATGCACACTTTGTGGGACGAAATTTATTATGTTATAAAAAATTTCCTGCTTTAATTGCTCCTAGGAAAAAATACATAAAACAATACTTTTATATTCACCCACAAATGTTATAAAATTTCACCAGTTATTTTAAACTTGTAATTTTAAACAATTAAGCCTAGTCATGCTTGCTCATTCTGTTAAAGAAATAATGTTAATGTTCGAATTTAATAAGTACTTCATCTCACTTCTGTTACGGATTAAGCTGGTTTGTACAGTTGCTTTCATATCCCGAAAGGGGTCGATAGAAAAAGAAAAAAACGAAATATACCAATTCGCTGGGAAAAAAGCGCTTCAGATCTAAAAAGAAAGGTGCTAAATAAATAAGAGAATGAAAATTTAACACACGGTAGATCAGTTCGAGTCTGTCCGCAGCTCGAGTCGGCTAGATCTAGCTAAACGACTCGGTCAAACTGCACGTTCGAGTCCGCTCTGTCTGTATATAAATAACATTCTAAAATCGGCTTCAAATTTGAAGAGGATTCAGATAACCTTGTCAATGTGTCAAAATATGAAGTTAATCGGTCCAGTAATTTTGAATTTAAAAGGAAAGTGCACACACGCACCCACACCGCATCCCCTCTCCAGCACACACACACACAAACACACACACACAGACGCGCATTATTGCAATACTCTCGCCTCTCTGGATAATAAATGGGCCGAATGTATGTCGTGAGTACAATTTAATAACAATCTATATGGTGCTGAGTGATAAACTGGGATATAAGCGCTTCTTATTTGCAGATAAACACGCTATATAAATAACCGAAAAAATAAATAAATAAATAGGACCAATGTGTATGTTGTGAGTAGAATTTTGTAACAATCAGTTTGGTGTGGAGTGATGGTTTAAAAAAAAACAACTTAAATACTCACGACAAATTTTGCGATGTTATCGATGAGACTGATTGAATGTTTATATCCATAAGGGTCTACACAACCACTCACAGCAAACCTACAATATCTGTTGTGATAGAAATATACATTTTTTTTTAATTAGAAATGCATGCACTTCGAAATAGGGTGAACAAAAAGGGACCTTGACAGATACACACCAGTCCGACCATGTTTTGGGTGAGGTAAGAAAAATTACGATTATGTCGCCTCTAATGGCCGGAAATGGCACTCTCATGATTTGAATATAATTTTCAGTTTTATCTTTAAAAATAATTTTGAAATATTTTCAAATGAAACAAGAGCGACCGCTCACCGGTCCGCGCGTTCCTCCACGCTAAATACGGTACAGGCGCAAGTTATTATGTTGGGTTTTTGGAAGAGCTAATAAGATTGAAATTTTTATATAATTAGCATGTATATTTGAACGAAAAAAAATATTATTTAGAATGTTCATTTATACAAAATTAAAATATCTCAAAATAGGAAAAAATCATAAAATTGGAAAAAAAATTGAATGGCAAGACGTGATTCGAACTCACAACCTTAACTACTTTAGAACACATCCTTAACCGACCGCCCCATTCCATACGACGTTCCCTATTGGCGGTAATGGCGTTAATGCACAATCCTTCCTGAAACCCCTGTTAGTTTTGTATGTGTAGTGGGAACCCTAGTGTCCACCTTAACAAAAGGGCGATGAACCCTTGTTGGAAATCATTTTTAGTTTATGGCACTTTCAGTTTATGTGTACAAAATTTCCTGAACGTCCGTTCAAAACTGGCGACGCTGGATGCTTTTCTGGTAACAAGAACAAGTAACAATATTGAGGCTCTGGAGTCAGCGCTTTGCGTGGACCCAAAAACTTAGACTTGATTTTAATAGACCTAACGTTACAGTAAAGAGTTTCGTCTGTTACGCTTCGACGCTTTCGATCGTATAGCTTGGCGTGTCACGGTGCACTGGTGGACCCACGTGGTAAGAAGGGACTGTTTGGTCTATGCAGCTGGTTAAAAAAATATGCAAGAAAATTGATGGCACGTAAAAAGTAAACAATAAATATACACATACCGAAAATGCTCGCCTCTAAACCCAAATATTATTGAGGGGCTAGCTAGTCGTGTTCAAAATTATATTTTTAGACCTGTTATTGAACAGGCCCTAAATAGTCCCCGAGCACTGGCTGCACTGCCCAATATCCCTATGATACTGCTTCAATACGTTTTAAATTTGGAACTAGAAAGTGTTTTTGTTTATTATAAGTGAGTATTCCTGTGTCTGTCTCTTTAAGATGTTATGCTATTTTGAAAATGTTCGCTCTCTGTTACTTTCATTACACATTCCACATCTTCCTTCCCCTTCTATAGAACCAACATGTGGACACTTGGTCTTCCACGTTCCAAATTAAGTAATCATCGGCTTTTGATAAATGTGCAACGCAAACTAGAAACATTATGTTCTTTTCAAATAAAATGTGTTGAACTGTTAAAATTACTGAGACTAGAAAGTTAACACCTCTCTTACACAAAACCCAGGACCGCCGAGGGCGGCCGTGGACCCCGGGGCAGTTTTGCTGCCTTGGCCCATTAGTTGGGGGTCTGGGGGGCCGCCTAGAGCCCCAGTGGGATCGAGGAACAGCAGATCCCTGATAGGGACCTCCGGAAGCTACGGCATTTTACCAGATTAAGGGACTAATTTAATCGATTATAGAGTGATTAATTTCACCAGGTCATAAAAAATAAAGTATAGAAACATGAAAACTAAAAGCTATTCTTCTTAGTATTCAAACGTACAGCTGAAAAGATTCATAACATAGTTATCAAAGTATACAGCGGCGGATCCAGGAATTTGAAATAGAGGTGGCCCAGAGAAGGAATTCTGTAGACCGAGGGTCTATCTACCTCAGCCCCACCATAGTTCGGGCTATGTAAGAACATTAATGGATGGCCGGACGGCCGGATTTGACACTCTTAGACTTAAATTTTAATAGATTTTTTCTTTCTAAATTTTTGAAATTTATAAAAAAATTAAGGGGAGGGCCGGCCTCCCCTTAAATCCGCCACTGGTTTAATATATTAATTCAGTAGTTATTTAACAATCAAATCTCTATTAGGTCTATTCATAGGCCTCCTTTTTCACTTGCATATTGACGATGTCCAGGGTCAAGCCTTTGATAATTATTAATTAATAAAGTAAAGAATTTACTATTGATACATTGTAAACATAAACTCTAGAGTATTAAAAGTCATGACAATATTCATTAAAAAAAAAGAATTAAAAGCGATTAATTACGAGCTTTCATTAATAAACGATGAGCTTTATTTACAATTTTCGTGGGGAAAAACACATGACTGATACTGGATGAATGTATATGTTCAATAATATTTATTCATTTATTTTATTTTATTGTGTTTACCTGATATCTCTGCGCATGCCGGGCCATATTTTTCCCCATATAGTTCCGGCAGAAATTATAGAGGGTGCTATTTTAGGTAAGTTTTTAGGTATAACTAATACATGCATGAATATGCATACAGACTCCCACTCGCGAAACAGAGTCAGCGGTGTATCGAGTTTTATGCTTGGATAAACGCTATGGAGTCACTAGGTCAAAATCTCGTAAATAGGCCTTGGTAGTCAAGACAGTGTAAAAAGTGCGTAGTACAGTAGTAGATTAGACACATTCTATGTAGGCCTACAGCATGGTCTTCGAAAGTATAGAAACAGGGAGTAGGCCTAATATTGAATCTGGCGCCGTATTTGAGTAGGCCTAGGCCTACAGTTAGATACAGTATGACGTCTTTTGTAGCAATTGTATGCTCTCTATTGTATTAGTAGTACTGATTCCGAAGGATATCACGTTTAGAATGCTCGGAAACAAACTACGAGTTCTTCGGACACAGTTAACTTACAATTTTACAATAAAAATATTTTGAGAAAAAAATCCCTAAATATTATTAATTAACAGACAGTGAGCATTTCTGTATTCTTTTGCATGATTCATTGGTTGGTAACATTTAAGGAGTTTTGTAGAACCGTCTGTAAATCAGTGAAAGCTATTTTTACTTCCATCTTATTTTGATCGTTTTATATAAAGCTAATCAACATTTAATTGGGTAGACACAGCTTAAACAGTACTTCATATCATGCCTTTATTCATATTGAATATAAACGAAATATTTGTAATAAATTGTACCTATAGTATTAGTAGTACTGATTCTGAAGGATAGGTCTATCACGTTTAGAATGCTCGGAAACAAACTACGAGTTCTTCGGACACAGTTCTTACAATTTTGCAATAAAAAGATTTCTTTATGAGAAAAAAATCCCTGAATATTATTAATTAACAGACAGTGAGCATTTCTGTATTCTTGTGCATGATTCATTGGTTGGTAGCATTTAAGGATTTTTGTAGAACCGGCTGTAAATCAGTGAAAGCTATTTTTACTTCCATCTGATTTTGATCGTTTTATATAAAGCTAATCAACACTTAATTGGGTACACACAGCCTAAACAGTACCTTATATAATGTGTATAGCAGGGTTCTCTCGATTTTTGGACAAAATATTTGTAATAAATTGTACCTGTGTGTCCGAGCATTTCTAAACGTTTATATCCTTTAGAATCAGTAGTACTACTGTACAGCAGTTAATTATTGCTACTTACACTACTCAAATAATCGACCAAAAATTCAACGCTACCTTGTTATACTTTCAAAGACTATGCTGTATGTAAACACTGCCTAGGCATAGGGATATTATAATTACAATAATAGTCAATTACGGTAGTTCACTCTGTATCGACTGTATACACTTTTCATTTCGACCGACCACCAAGAGATTTTGGCCTACCCTATGGAGGAATTAGTTTAGATCCTAAACTAACTCCTCTATGCCCTAACTACGCCGTAGCTTTCATATTCCACAAGCAGCAAACACCACTTTCGCGACTCGCGAGAAAAAGTGTTAAGCAGTTGCATTATTAATGTTATCAGTTCACCTAAATGACCTTAAATAGTGCCCTCTATAATTTCTGCCAGAACTGTATGGGGAAAAAAATAATGCTTAATTTTTCCCCGGCCTCTCGACGCCAACACACACAACAAACTTTTAGACACTCGAGGTTGTACTAACTATTACGATCTCAATATCCATAGTACGGTACAGTACAAAAATCATATCAACATACACATTAGCTTTAATTGATTAGCTTGAATTGATTGGCATTGATAGCCATATTGCTTTCTACTCTAGAGTCTAAAAACAATTTTACTTATCTAAATAAGTAATTCTACTTATCTAATAAGTTATAAAATGTATAAAATTTACAAAACAATCATTACAATTACATTTATCTATACAATTAAAAGAAATTTTGAAATCATGTTTATGATAGCAGCGTATTAAGGACGGTTAGATATATAATAGCGATATATACGTATACATTTTTTTTAAAAAACCTTCTTTATTCTAGATACTGTTCTTCATGAGGTCTAGTTTAAAAGCATTCACTCTTAATTTTATCAGTTTTTTAAAGCAAAACTATTTCTACTACTACTTACTTTAAACTAAGCGGTGAGTAGAATGGACTAGTTGTTTTGTCAACAAACGAACCAAAACCCATTCTCAAATCCCTGGTAACGCCTTGCAATGCTCTGGCTAGAAAGTTTTAGACACAGATAAAAATACAGAAAATAATTTTTCATTAGTTTAGTCATATAACACGTATTAATTAACAATGGATACACTTTCACTAAGCAAAAAACTATTGTATTTCAAGTAATAACTAAACAGTTACTAATTTTATGTGGAACAATTCATGTAATAATGTATTGGAATGAAATGAAAATTTACATAAAAACATTACTGTAAATAAGCAGAGATCATGGGTGTATGCAAGGCGGTCGGGAAGCTTGTACAACCCCTCCAAAATTTTCAAAAGTCTACATTTTTTCAAAAGACATTTTTTTCTAGGGCCTTTTCACAATGATAAATGAAAAAGCATTGATGAGGTACCAGCAGTGAGTCCAAAGACCTTGCCAATTGCGTGACGTAATCTATCTCATTTCCAGCAATTCTGAAACTGAGCCTGCCATCTGCTTTAAGCAAATTGTATTGACATTTCAATCACATCTTGCTGTTATTTCATTGTGAAAAGGTCCAAAAAATTATGATCACGACCCACCCAGAAGAAAATCCTGGATACGCCCCTAGAGATAGATATTGAACTAAAGAAAAACGATATTGTATGTCAGATAATAATTATACAGGTATTATTGTTATAAGTATGGGCCTTAGTACCTTGAAAGGTTAATAAGTAACAATTCATGTGACAATGTATTGAAATGAAATGTAAATCCACATGAAAAGAATAAGCAAGCTTAGATAGATATTAAACTAAAGCAAAAAAAATTGAATACTGTAGAAGCTATGAATAAATGTTGGTTGCCACACAGGAGAGAGAGAAAAAAAAACTAATGGATACATTCATCCTTTACCATGTCATACCTACAAAAATATAACATCGACGGTCTGTACATGCGGACATTATAATAGACCAAGTTCAATTTAGCGTAAACAAAGAAAGTTCCTTCTAGTGAATTATTTGGTAAGATAAATTTTGGGGTATAGTTCTAACTAGTTTCAGGCAAACTGTTAAAGGATTTTTAACTCATTCTATATTATCGGACCTATAATAGATACACCTAGAATAAGGTTAGAACCGCGCATGCTCGTATCAAGGTTAACTAGTTTCAGACAAACTGTTAAAGGATTTTTAACTCATTCTATATTATCGGACCTATAATAGATACACCTAGAATAAGGTTAGAACCGCGCATGCTCGTATCAAGGTTAATCGACATAAACACCATACTACGGGATAGGTGCATGCGCAGTTGAAACCATGATTGGCTTATTGTTTTGTGTGGCAATAGTTTTTCTTCAACTGTCATCCATTTGTGGCATAGTGTATGTATGTTGTTACCTATAATGATAAGACAGGTTCAATTCGCCGAATAGTGGCCTCTGTTCTAAAATGTTGGTGTAGTTACTGGTAACTAATCATATTTTATTATCAAAAGATTTTCAAGTTAAACGAGCTTTAAATTAAATCGATTCGCATGATATAATTCCTACTACATGTGGTCGAAATAATATAGATATCAAAGTAACCAATCATCACCAAAACCAACACGATCATCGTCATCGTCATCATTATCATTATCACCAGTTACCTGTATTAAATAAATCTTTTCGTTTTTTGTTAATTACTTAAGTTTTCAGTGCAAGCTTTGATTTAAAAATTATTAGTATTTTTGTCTAATAATTTCTAGCCACACAAAACGAGTACTCTTTTATCTCCTCTTCTAGTCTAACTTTCAAAGGCACAACTGTAAGCTAACTTTTTTCATTTCAATTCAATTTTCTACAATATTTTAAATCAATTATCATGTTAAAGTTATGTTTAACCATAGTTTAACAACAGCGAGACTGTATATGGAAGTAACTTACATAGTTCAAACATACTCTTTTTCATCGTATCCAGATAGGGCCTCATAGAAAGTGATAAATCCATAAGAAAGTAGATATCAACAGGAAAATCAACAGATGGTCGAATATCTATGTTAAATGTCAGTTTCTTTCCTGCAAATGAAAAAGAAATAACATGATCCAATGTTATTTTAGTATAGCCTAGATCTTCGGTATGGTTTTTCATTTTAGTCTTTTCGGTTCCTTCAGTATTCTATGTATTTTATGTATTCCATCATTGTATTGTACCTGTCTCTTATACACATCTAGATGTGTATAAGAGACAGATATTAGTGATACGCCTAATATCAATATCAACATTTATGAAAATAATAATAATAACAATATATGCGTTAATATTATCTTATTCTTACTATTCTTATTCGCCAAAAAACAAAGTACAATACAATGATGGAATACATACAGAATACAAGTACAACTAATTGAATGAGTCGGCAGAAACACAAAAGCGAACTAAATCACAAAATTAACAAAATACAGAAAGCAAATATCTAAGTAAGTAGAATACAAAAATAAATATAACAAAATATGTAATCATTGATCAGAAATCATTTTAACTTTAAAGAAATTATATTAAAAAATATATATGTATAATTGATTAAATATAATTAAACAATTAAGATATTTAAACATAAAAATTTTATAAATAAGATAATTCTAATGTAAAACAAAATTATTTGCAATACTTTGTGAATTAAAGATTATTATGAAGAACGAATTATTTAAGTTTAGTGAGAAAGATGTGGAAAGAGTCAACAAGAAAAGAGTGTTTCAGATCATCAGGGAAATCATCCCAAAGTCTTGGCAATTCATGAATAGCTGATAGGTGAAGGTAATTGGTACTTGCTCGAACGTGTTTGAAACGCAATACCCCTTGGTGACAGATATTGACTACAGCAAATTGACGAATGCTCTCAGTCAAGATAGCCCATAAGAGTTTTACACACAAATGATGCAAGTAGATATGGTCTGCGACCTGGGTCAAGTTTGTTAATTGTGTGACACAGGAGCTTGATGAAAAAAAGCCATGCTGGACATCACTAATAAGGCAGTCGGTTGTAACATGACCAAATACTTCAGAACAAATTATTTTCTCAAGTATCTTACAACATATTGGGGTAAGAGAAACTAGTCTATAATTGTTGATGCAAGTTTTATTGCCAAATTTGAAAACTGGAGTGACATGGGAAAATTTCCAGGCAGATGGTAATTTACCAATCTGTAGAGTCAAACGAAAGATATTGTAGAGAAAAGAAGTCAGTACACATTAGATGCATTACGGATTATGTAAGGATGTACAGTATTGAATCGGAACCAGAATTTCAAGCTTACTCAATGCAGTATGAACATCATTAATAATATCAAAATTGACAGTTGCAAGTTCAGGTATATGGAAGGAGCATGGTGGAGGTTCAGTTGGAGAAGAAATGTTGTAGGAAGATGAAAAATGATCATTGAAACCGCTAGAGACAACAGATGGAGTAGAAATCATTTTACCGTTAATTTTTAAGAGGAAGGAACTGGTGATCGTTGGCGTTCCCAATCTGCTTCTTGGTTATAATTTTCTTAATATCATTTTGTTATCCATGGGTGACGTTTTCTGAATTTCTTACAGTATATCGACACGGAATACAGTCACGTATGACTGCATCAAATATATCAAGAAACCCTTCCCAAGATTCTTCTACACAGTCATTCATAAACACTCCCAGAACGGAACAAAATGAAATAATTGTTGGAGATGATCGACGTCAGTCTCACGCGATATGCCAAGAATCGGTTGATTAGATGTTTAGATAGCATTTGTTTCAGGTAGAAGTGAGCACAAAAAAACATTGCTAAAATTTGGAAGACAGTAACATGCAACAAAACACATTTTACAATTACAATTGTGACCACTAACTGAAAAGTATATTATTTATATGGGTCTGCAGAGTCATAGTTCATTTTAACAGGAGCAAGACAGTTCTTAACAGCTGGTAGTCTAGTACACCACCAACCCTCTTGTCATTTCACGTGGCAAGATTTGATATTGATCTGAAAATCCAAGCTGAGGTGTGAGATCATCCTTGCTAAACCAAGTTTCTGTTATCAACATTTTGAGGCGCGAGAAAAGCTACCAGTTCAATGGATTAATTGAGAATACTTCTAGCTTTAAGAGTCAGAACAGTGATTGGATTGCGATCTTGTTGCCTTGGTATTTCATCTTCTGGTCCAGGGGTTTCTTGTATGTCACTTGATAGTGCTAGTACATTAAATATATATA